ACAATAGCTTAGAGAAGCTATAGGAATACAAGGGGAAAAAAGAACAGGGAATTAAAGGGGAAAAGTACATTTAAGAAATGGAAGGACATATACCTACAGAAGCTATCTCAGGGTAGTAGAATTAACAGTGATTATTTTTTCCTGAAACTATTACTTTTTCGCATGCCCAAGGGTTAAATTTGTTAAGTTCTTTCTTTACTCAATATCTTTCATACTAATCATATTGAAATCACATTTTAATAAAACTAGAACAGGGGCTAAAATATCATAGGGTCACAGTATGTAACAAAAATGTGGGGAAGAACAGGTTTTTCTAATTGCAAATAAGCGCATACCCAAAACAGAATACAAAAAAAAAAGTATGCATATCTGGGTTATTATAATTGTGATTTAGAGATAATAATTGATAAAAACAGAACTCACTAGTATGACACTACTCTGACTGAAAATGCCTTAGGATTGAAAAAAATAAATTCAAAATGGCAAAAGCATATTAGGACAGAACTTTACATCACACTACATTTATAAGATTGCTCCTAAGAAATATAGCAGACATTTATATAATCTAATGTAGGTCTGTGGTGACAAGGAAATGTTGTAATTCATTTGAAGTACATTTCTAGAATAATGTGGCAAATCATAAAAAGGTAGCATTTGAGTCATAAAGCCCTTTGGGAACTTGTCATATGTAAATTCATTTTTTTTTCTTTGAAGTACTGGAGGTTGCACCTAGGAGTGCTCTACCTCTAAGCCACATCCCTGACCCCATTTATTTTTAATTTTGAGATGGGATCTTACAAAGTTGCCCAGGATGGGCTAGAACTTATGATCCTCTTATCTCAGCCTCCTGAGTAGCTGAGATTACAAGTGTTTGCCACTTTGGGCAGCATAAATAAGTTTTTACACAGAAAAAATAATAGTGGGTAGAAAGATAATCATTACAGCAGCACTGTCATTAACAATAGATAATTGCAATCATTTAAAGTACTCAATAATGGGGGAATAACCAATAATAAAGGAACAGCCAATGTCAGCTAAATGGCAAAGGAGCAATGTAAAGTTTTATTAACAAAGGACCTGTACTGAAATCCTGATGCCAGCCTTAACTAGATGTATGACCTTGAGAAGCTGCCTAACATGTTATATATTCATCACTTTAAAAAAAAAAAAGGAAATAATCATGTATACATCAGAGGACTGGGAAAATTAAAAGTCCAAACAGACTTATATAGTATCTGCAAATTGGAACCTGAAAAAAAGATTCTTTTACTTATCTGTAGTTAATAAAATAGTGAAGAGCATGTAAGGTACATTATGTTTATTAGTCATTAAGAAAAAGAGTGAATATAAAACTGTATACTCAGTATAATTCTAATTTACAATGGATTATAAATAATAATAAAAGTGCTTGGATCAGCAAAATGAAAAGCTGCATATGTGAATGGATAAAAGACGAGAGAAATGTATAAAATTACATTAATAATGATAAAATAACAGAAACTATTTTTAAAATGTCATTTTATTTTTATAATTAAAATAATGAGGAGATATGTACAAAGCTTAAGTAAATCCTCTTACTATGGAAAACAAACATCATCGAAAATCATTCAAGAACAGGAATTGAAACTACAGCCTAAACCTCATTCCTTAGTGTATACAGCCTACAGAAGGGTCATAGTTATCTGCTCTAATTCTTGTTTGGAACAGCACAGATCTGATACAATCTAAGATATCAAAGTCTGTCCACAGGCTCTCAAACAATAATTAAACATTATACAATTACCCACAGTGCAGTTTTAGCCAGATGTGAGTACAAGAGAAGAATGCTTAGTGTTGACACTTCTTAAAGAATTGGCACTCATGGATGTCATGACATGACAGAACTTGGAGAGGTAATTCTTATTGCCAACTTCTGCCTCAGCCACATTTAATTGATAGGCTCCTCATGTTCTAGGAAACCAGTCCCTAGTCACTGAAGATTTCCTTTGTATATCCCATTGATGTCTGTCCTTTGTAACGAGGCACCAGATTTATGACAATAAATCAAAACTTACTTAGTCAGCTTTCATTCTAAAAAACAAACCAATGAATGAATCTACACTAAAATTGGGAAAAGTTGGCGGGAAGACCACATCTCTACTGACCAAATATCTCTGTTCAGCATCTCTGTTTTATACATCAAGATTTCTAAGGAGACATTATAGTCCCTATTATAGGGATGGAACTATGCCAGAAAAGAAAGAAGAGATAGTTTTCCTCAGATCCCTTAAATTACACATTTATTTAAAATTTTCTTCAATTGGAACTACTTCCTTTTCCAACATTTAGGGATAAAGCTGCATTTTATTTACCAAAGACATATTTTTAATTATAAATTCATATTTAAAATTCTGTAGTAGTATAATAAATTTATTTAAATAACAATTCTAAGCAGAGCACAGTGATGCATGCCTGTAATCCCAGTGGCTTGGGAGGCTAAGGCAGGAGAAATACAAGTTCAAGGCCAGCCTCAGTAACTTAGTGAGGCCCTGAGCAGCTTAGCAAGACCCCATGTCAAAATAAAAAACAAAAAGGACTAGAGATTTGGCTCAGTGGTTAAATGTGGCCCTAGGTCAATCCTTGGTACAAAAAAAAAAAAAAAAAAGAAGTAAAAAAGAACAATTATAAACAGCAATGATAAAGGCTATAGTCCTTAAAAAAAAAAGGAAAACAGATTCAAAGACTTTAAAAGTAGATATGCTACTGTCAGTTAAAGGTATTATTAAGCTACTTTCTTACATTACTTAGAATTTACAACAGTGTATATTTTACATATGTTTTCACATGGATACATGAGTTTGCTATTCTTACTAAAAACAGTTGGCCAAAACTTCTTTTTACTCCCCAAATACAATTTATTCCAATGAAAAGCAAGCTTATGATCTATAATAATGTAACAAGTACAATCAGCCCTCTTACTTTATAAGGATCTGTGCGTGGGTACCTTATCCATGCTTTCAACCTCATGATTCGACCAAGAACTGACAGAAAATATTTTTTAAAACTCACATCTGTACTGAACACATATAAACATTTCCTTTTCATTATTCCCTAAATAATACCGTGTAACTATTTACATACTACTTACATTGTGATTATGTGGTACAAATAATGTAGAAATTATTTAAAATATACAGGATGATATCTATACATAGGTATAGATATCTATACATAGGTTAAACACAAATGCTCTGCGTTTTATAAAAGAGACTTGAAAATCAATGATTTTGGTATCTTTTGGGAGATCTACATTTCTGGTAAGTGCTAATTAAAGAGAGGAAAAAAAACTGATTAATATCCTTAATTAGAGGGGCAATACAACAACATTCCTATAGTAGCTTCTTATGATTTTTTCCTAATATTTGCAAGTTTCTTCAATTACAAAAGATACTACAAAGAGTGACAGGTGTTTTCCTGGCTAGAGTTAAAAGATAAAACATCCGTTCCACATTACATAGTAAAGTATTTATATATTAATTTTCATTATTTAAAAAGAAAAAAATATTTAGTAAAACACACAAATAGTGGAATCTATCATAGATTTAAAAAATTTTCTTGTGATGGAAGAAATATCATCACAATTTAAAAATTTGATGTAAAATATTAACTCACAGTTCAAAATAAAAGGGAGACCCAGAATAGCCAACATAATAGTGAAAAAGAAGAACAAAATCAGAGGACAAGAACATGCTTTATTTTACAGAGAACCTCGTTTTCTTCATCTGTCTCGGAAGAATAATAGTTCCAGCCTCAGAGGCTGCTGAAAGATTCACTGAGATAATGAATTATGATAATTTTATCAGTTTCAGGCATTTATTAAGAGCTAGGGAAAAAATAAGACTTAGGAAAGATCAAACACTACTATTATTATTAATAATTTTGAATTAGTTTAATATTAATATAGAATAATCAGGGTTTATTTTTCAATTAAAAATAACATTAATAAATAGAGTTAAGTTTTAAAACAGTTTGAAATAAATATAAGAGGACCAAAAATAAAGATAAAACAAATAATAAAAAAGTTATTCTTAAAATTAAGCACATTTTGTTAAGATTATTTAGAAAAACAAATTTTAAAACTGCTTACAAAAAATAGGCAAAATGTTTCCAGGGTGTTTTACTGGGTGGTGTCCCATGTTGTGAAGTCACAATGTTATATATATTGGTGCTACAAATAAGATTTAATCTGGGGGACAAAAGGCTCTCCTGCACTTAAAAGGAATTTAAAAACCAAAAGGCCAGAAAAACATATCATATGTCTTGAAGGTTAACACTGTACATATAAATAAATAAATCCTTTAACAAATCTACCCAAAGAAACATAAACAATTGAACAATGATTAATTTTTATATAAGCAATTATTATCATTCTTCTTTTAACTGACAATCTTAATTGAAAAATTTGGGATAAAAAAAAGTTTTAAAATAAAATTGCTATTCTCTTTTCTTTTACTTTGCAGTGGTGGAGATCTAAATAGGGGATTTGTGCATACTAAGTAAGCAAGCACTCTATCACTGAGTTACACACCTATCCCCAAACTGCTTAATTCATGAACACCATAAAACAATACAAAATGTTATTTTATATAAGTGTGTGTGTGTTTCAATTAAAACAAATTCATGAAAATAGTAATAATAATATAACACTAAAAATTTCTGTATTATGTAAGAAGATATGGATTAAAAATTTGAGCTAATACAGATTGGTGCTTTTCTAAACTTTAATTTTTGTATTAAAAATGTCAAACAAAATGCATGACCTATTAATAGTCGGATGTCAATATTATCTATGATTATTTTTGTGGGATATGATTACTTATTGAGTACAGCAATTTTTAAGAAATAAAACCTTTGAGTCACTGTCCCATAATTCAAAGAAAAGTTTTTCATGAATAATCTAAAAATTAGAAATTTTTATCAACAAGTAGTCTTTAAAATATTATAAAATAAATTAAGTGTACCTGGTGTCCAGCTTTTACTTGCTTTAAAACACTTTCATAGCATACTTCATCCATGTTATTCAACTGCTGCATCTTAAAGTTTATAAAACATAAAAAATATCAAATGAAATGTTATAAACTTTCTACCTAGAAATAAAACTTTGTCAATTATAATGCATCCTTTTTATTTTACCTCTTAGACTAGTATACACAGAAGCAACAAGTACATAAAACTTCCCATAAGAAACAAATACGATGCAATTAAAACTACTGATGAAATACTTCAAAGATTCAGAATGCCCCTTCCTCTTACTCATAGATAAGAATGCCAAGTTTTTAAAAGACACTATCTTTAAGAATAACATACTAGTTATAGGTATTTTAGAATAACTTTAAAAGTTCTCTCTACTTTCCCTAGAAAAGGCTGCTTTTCTTTTATTTCATTCCATAATCTATATATACATTTTTCCTTTTTAATTCTCAAAGCTGTGAGAACACTTCAGGTGGTATGGCAAATGGCATATTGAGATGGATCCTAGGAAACAGATAATTTCGGTAATGTGTATGGACAGGAGAACTAATTTTTCCATAGAAAGTTTTCAGATTAATTACAAACCTAATATACAAACTGAGTTTAAAAAAGGGTTTCCTTTCCCCTATTAATGATGAGGAAGTGTCTAACTAGAAAGGTAAGAAGGTGAGGAAAAGGGTCATGTATGTGTGAAATGAATATAATTTGGATTTTTTATTTCAGTAAAATAAACATTTTTAAAATCTAGAACTATTTTAACTGATAGTGGCTAAATAGGTTAGGGTGATCATAGGATAATTTATTTCCACCAATGACTTAAAAAAACAACCCTATTATCACCAAATAAATCCCAATAACTATTTCAGTACACTTTGGGTTGAATTCTGTACAAAGCCATTAGTCGAAATTATGAACATTACTTATAGCACTTTGTCATATTCTTTTATAACAACGGGATCATATTATGAATTTTGGAATGAAATTGAGAAGTCTACAAGGATGTCTTCTTATAATAAATGACAAAATAACAACTGGTTATAAAACATATTGACAGCACCTTGGGGGAAGACTTAATGGTTACCCATTGCATATTTCAAGTTAGTATAATACTAATAAATTTAATAAGAAAAAGTCTACATTTATTTAAAAAAGCATAATTAACTATTTACACTATTTAAATATATACGTTTTAAAAATTTCTAAATATCTAAATCTTCAAAGTAATTGATAGCTCATCTTCTGACACCATTCCTTTCATGAGTATGATGCTAACATATTGTGATAAAAATTTTAATTAGTTTTAAAGGATTTATCAATTTGTATGATGCAGTTGAAAGAAAATAAGTTTTAAGATGAATGACAGAAATCTGTAACAATTTTCTTTTCCTAATATCTCTATGATAACCATCTGCTAACATTTAAATTATAAAGCAAAATATAATCTAAAGCCATAAAGAAGCAGTTCTACATTTATCACTCTGATACATTAAAATGAACTAAATAATCAAATATATATTAAACATGACTGAAAAAACAAGCATCAAGTAATACTAGAGAGCACTTAAAACAATCAACAAATATTGAAATATTCATATAATATTACCATATCGTGATATTTATTATGAATAAATCTGAAAAAGATCTCTAAAATTTGAAAGATCTCTGACATTTATGCAATGCAATTAGTGTACATATCTATTGTAACAGTCATTTCTAAAATCTATTAGCGAATATTTAACTTACAATAGTATAAGGCTCTATCTTACAAATAAAATATATTTTTAGAAAGAAGTAAATTAACACAATAAAGAACAAGTTTGACATGATAGTATATGATTGCATCTTGTTCTCTTTACTAAGGAGGTCAAAAGGCTGTAAGTTTTATTATACAGTTATTTCTTCTAAAGAAAAATATGGGTTGTTGAAGAGAATAATAAAAAATAAATGTTAAACACAGTTTTGTATAAAATGTAAAACAAAGTTTTCCTTCATATTATCAAATTAGTCTGTAATAAGAACTCTAATAATGCAAATAGTACTACTTAAATAGTACTACTTAAGGTATTAGATAAGCAAAGTTTTGAAGCACTATATAGAATTTTAGAAATGACACTATATATATATATATATGATAAATATAAAACATTTTAAATTAAACAGAATATCTCCCCTTATGGTTGCTACCACAAAATTATTTTTCAATTATATAATTTATCTTATTATTTTGTTAACATTATATTAAAATATTTATTACTGGTTTAGTAGAGCTCTTATTATTTTACAATGGGTTTCAGTCAAAGGAACTTTCTGAAATTTTACTAAGAACACAAAATATACATTGAAAATAGCAATACAAACTACTACAAGCACCTTTCTGTAAGATGTATTCAACTACCAGTCATTGAGGACGTATATTTGATTTTGTCTTAGATAGCACATTAGGAATGCTACTAAAATAGTCTTTTGCAGATTTAATTTCCAGACAAGTATTCAACAGTAAGTCAACATAAATACTTTTTAGAAAAATATAATTATTAAAAGGAGTATTTTACCTTATTTGCACTTTTAATCCCCAAAAACGTCTGCCCAAGAGGTACTGGACGAAAACGGCCATCAAAGTAGAAAAGTCCAATGTAGGGATTAACGTGTAAAAATGTAGCAACATCAAGGTAGTTGGGTAAGGTTGCAGACAGTCCAAGTATTCTTATCATACTCTGTGTGGATTCAACCTACATGGGTTATGTTAATTGGAAGTTACTTTAAATAAGTATGGGTTGTTTACATTAATTTAACTAAAATCAGTATTATGTGAACTATTAATAGGACCTTCTAAAAATTGTAGAAGGAAATCAGTTCAGATATCAACTGAGGGTCTTACCATGCAAAACTCTAAAGCTCACAATTCACAACTTGATCCATCAGATACATAATAGAACTCCCTACTATTAAAAATATGCATAGGAATTTATATTAAATAGCAATAAAAGTTTATAACAATGGAACATATTATTAGGTCAACAAAAACTTCCTCAAATTAAAAAACATATAGGGTAAATTCTCTGATAATAATGTAATATACCCACAAAGATAATATTAATGGATGGTCAAAACTTCCAATCAGCACCACAGTGGCACACACCTATAATCCCAGAGGCTTGGGAGGCTCAGGCATGAGTACTCCAAGTTCAAAAATCAGCCTCAGCAACTCAGTAAGGCCCTAAGCAACTTAGGGAAACCCTGTCTCAAAATTAAAAAAAAAATAAATAAAAAAATAAAAAGGGCTGGGGATGTGGCTCAGTGGTAAAGTGCCTTTGGATTTAATCCCTGGTACCAAACACAAAAATCAAAACCAAAACCCATAAAGCTTCCATTCATTTGGTAATTAAAACACACCATTATGATCCTAGGATGGTGCTATCAATTTCACAGCCGTTTTTTTGAGGAAGTTGTTGACAAATTAGCTGAATCTAATTTGTTAGACTCAATAAGCAAATTAGCCCGGTATGAATAACAGTAATACTCCCAGAATTACTCCTCCATCAACATTGGAGTACCACTTAATGATGCAAAACTGAATAAGACACATGTAGAGAATATATATAGAAGTATAAATAGGAAGAATCAAAAACTGACAGAATTGGGTGGAAATCAAAATATTCACACATATAGAACACATTACCATCAATTTGTTTTCACTAAAGAAATCATACAGATATCAGCAAAAACCCAAACCAAACTGAACCAAAAGCAAAGAACTCCAAATAATGGAATATTATATTATCACACCTGTTATAATACTTCATCATACAAAGTAATTAGAATGATTTTAATTACTCTATAGTTATATATAGTGTCCATAGTAATCTGGAAAGAAATAGAAGTTATATTTCTTTTTAAAATTATTATTTAAAATACAAAATTTACTGAACAAAATTTTAAGCTCATTTGATGTTAAATACCTGGTCCCCTAGCAATTACCAGAGACATTTTTCTGCTAAAAATCCATTATAGAACAACCATGTTTTTAATCTAAAAGTATAACTCATAATTTTAACATAATGAAGTCCTTTGAGAAATACTTTACTTGAAATAAGAAAAATTTGGAATTTTATGTCCTAAACCAAATCCCAAAGCTTTTTATGCCACAGATATTTCCCTAAAAAGAATCTATTGTTCAAAATGATAAAAAAAAATAGTGCTTTAAAGATTTATTTTTATCATTTAACACAAAAATGAGGCACTAAACTTTCATGTTTCCCCTCACACAAAAAATCTAAATTTGGGCAGTCTCCCTACTCAGTGAAATCAAAGTAACTGAGACAACTAATACCAGATCAATGTTGTTGAATACAACATATTTAAGAGTTCTTGTATTTCTATCTTTTCTGAATTTCTCCCCATCATTTCAAGTGTGTTGGGTATTTAGTCTCCTCTCTAGCACGTAATTTCAGATCATGGACAGAAACTTCACTGGAACAGCTTCCTGTCACAGGTCTACATTAGTAACAAATATAGAATGATGTAAAACACTGCCATCTATGGGGCACATATGGTAATCACAACAAACAAAAAACAGGAACTTTGCTTCTATTAAACACTCATGAGCACTGCACTAATATATTGGAAATATGAGAATCATAAACACAGTAGTCGACATGTATCTGTCTACTTTCCAACAGATATACAGCAGTTAAAATCAGAAAGAAAGACCAGGATTGAATAATCTTTACTATCCAGCTAAGGAATTTGAAAATATTCTTAAGATAATAAACAATTATTTAGCAAATGATTATAAGGAAACATAAATGGAAAATGATTATGGAGATGATAATGTGAGGTATGAATTAATATATTACTTAATTATAAATTATATGTCCATAACATTATATCTTAAGATTAATTATATATTTATATAATTAAATGATACATAAAATATCCCATTTTATACCATTTATCATATTTATAAACCATATATAAAATTATATTCTACATTTATATTTGCAAAAACATTTATGAAGATATAATTGCTTTAAACATATACATGTTACATGCATATGGGTATGTGTACACACATACATACGGAAAGAATTAGCAGCAAGACTACATTCTACTTTCTCCCTCTATGGGGACAGAGGGGTAAAGAAAAGAAAGCTGTCCTAGTTAAATAAATCCCCTTATAAAAAGATGTGAATGATAGACCTTCTGGCAAATGTACTAATGCTATTTACTTGGCCTCTAATGTTTTATACTTGCAGGAAATTCTTTATCTGTGGGATGCTTTTAACTGGATGGACATGGTCCAACAAGTTCATTGCAGGTAAATGTAGAATGTATGAATTCATGCAGCATGGTTTCCTAAACAATTTTAACTAAGCTATTTAAGTATTTAGGTATAAAATGAAAATGTTTCATGATCAAAATAACTCTCTTTTGTGTAAAAAGTGTACTGAATACTTCTTTTTGAGGTCTTATACATAAAATCTGTACCAGAACATATCCACTGTATTAAAAAAGGACTTGGAGATACTTCTCAATGCTTCAACTATATTTTACAACTAGTTATACCTGTGAAATTATTATTAAATTGATATTAGCTAAAATATTTAATTTTTATAAATCTTCTTTGAACATTTCAACCCTCTGTATTTATGTGCATATATACGTATTTTTCATTTATATGATAAAAGTGATCATATATCCCAAGAATACTGTCCCTTTACTTTTTAAAAAAAATTTTTTTTAGTTGTAGGTGGATACAATACCTTTATTTTGTTTATTTAAATGTGGTGCTGAGGATCAAACCCAGTGCCTCACATGTGCTAGGAGAGTGCTCTACTGCTGAGCTACAACCCCAGCCCTGTCCCTTTACTTTTTTAAAAAAATATTTAGTTTTTAGTTATAGGTGGACACAATATCTTTATTTTATCTTTATGTAGTGCTGAGGATGGAACCCAGTGTCTCATGCACAGTAGGCGAGCGCTCTACCTCTGAGCCACAATCCTAGCCCCCTGTCCCTTTACTTTTAAGAAATCATTTTTCCAGCTTGCTGAATATTCTTTTATGTATACATACACACCTCATTCTACACCAGCCTAAAAATAATTTAAATTATATTTTCGGATAACATACTATATTTAGAAGATCAAAAAACAAATAAAAACTCTACCAGAAGACTGCTGGAGCTTATGAACAAATTTAGCACAACAGCAGGATAAAACATCAACACTCATAAATCAATAGCTTGCCTTTACTCCAATAATAAGTCTGCTGAGCAAAAATTATGAAAATTATATAATTTACAAAAAACTAAAAACAAAAAAACAAAAACATTGGGAAGAAATCTAATCACGGAGGTGAAAGACCTCTACAATAAAAACTTATAACACTGAAGAAAGAAATTAAAGAAGACCTTAGAAAATGGAAAAGACCTCACATATTCTCAGACAGGCAAGCAATATTGTTAAAATGACACTATTACCAAAAGTTACAGATTCAAAGTAATCCCTACCAAAGTACTGATGACATTTCTCACAGAATTAGAAAAAACAGTTCTAAAATGTATTTGGAAGAATAGCCAATGCAACACTGAGCAAGAAAAACAATGACAGGAATCACAATACCTGATTTCACACTGTACTACTGACTTATGGTAAGAAAAATAGCATTGTACTGACATCAAAATATACAAGAAGACCACTGGAATAGAAAAGACATGGAAATAAATCCACATATATACAGTCATCTGATCCTTGACAAAGGTGCCAAACTACATGTTAGAGAAAACAGCCTTTTAACAAATGGTGCTGGTACAATTGGATATCCATATGTAGAAGAATGAAACTAGACCCCTATCTTTCACTCTGTGCAAAAGTCAATTCCAAGAGGATCAAACACACAGGAATTAGATCAGAAAGTATGCAACTCCTGGAAGAAACCATGGGTCAACATTCCAACAAAGAGGTACAGGCAATGACTTTGTCAATAGAACATCTAAAACTTAGGAAATAATGACAAGAGTTAATAAACGGCAGACATCAAATTAAAAAACTTCTGCACAGCAAAGAAAACAAAAACATACAAAAAGTCTATGGAATGGGAGAAAAATATTTGGTAGCTACTATTCTGACAAACAATTAATATCTAGAATGTATAAAGTATATATCTATAAAAAACTTAACACCAAAAAAGCTCAAATAATAAATGAAAAAAGGAACTAAACAGACGTTTCTCAAAAGAAAAAACACAAAGACAATGAATACATGAAAAAAGTGTTCAACATAAGTAGCAATCAGGGATATGCAAATCAAAACTACACTGATTTTATCTCACTCTAGTTAGAATGCAATTACCAAGAACCCAAATAATAATAGATGCTGGGGATGGGGAACAAAATTATACTCATGCATTGTTGGTGAGACTGCAGATTAGTACAACCACTCTGGAAAGCAGTGTAGACATTCCTCAAAAAACTAGAAATGGAACCATCTGTATGACTCAACTATCCTACTCCAAGGTGTTTATCGAAAAGAACTAAAAATCAACATACTATAGCAATATAGCCACCTCAATGTTTAATGCAGCACGATTCACAGTGTCAAATTATGAAATCAGCCCACATGTCTTTCAATTGATGACTGGATGAGGAAAATGTGGTATACATACACAATGAAGTTTTAACCAGCCATAAAAAAGAATGAAATTATGGAATTTGTTGGTAAATGGATGGACATAGAAAACATTATGTTAAGTGATAAGCCAGACTCAGTCAGGGTTGAATATTTTCTCTCATATACAGAAGCTAGACCAAAATGGGGGGTGGGCAGTGATCACATGAAACCAGAAAAGATAAGTGGAACAAAGAAAGAAGGTAGAGAGAGAGAAGATATAGAAAAAGTTAAGAACTCAGGAATGAAAGTGACCAAATTATGTTATGCACATATACACCGCAATGAATTCCACCTTCATTGTATATCTATGAAGTACCAATTTAAAAAAAAAAACTATAAATAAATAGAAGAATAACCAGTAGATAAGAAGGGGAACTGGGAGAGCAAGAAAAGAAAGGGAAGGAGAAAGTACTAGAGACTGAAATGGAGCAAATTAATTCCATGCTTGTATGATGTCAAAATGATCCCCACTATCATGTATAATTATAATGGACTAACAAAAACATTTAAAATGTAAATAAAAACAAAAACGTTGTTTTGTTTACCATTATATCTAAAGCACCTAAAACTATGAGCTGGCAAAATGTAAGTGCTTAGTAAGTATTCACTGGGTAAAATAATGAACAAAAGTACAAATATAGCATACTTTTTATGATACACAAATAAATAGAACAGCTTGTTTGCTCAATGAAAACACAGACTATTTTAAGCCCAGGTCATATGGCCCTACCTTATTCTTTTTAAAGGTAGAATTTCATTTGTATGAACATACTGAAATATATTAAACCATTTCTGGTATTGAATATTTGGATTGTTTTCAAAATGCTTTGATGTAAAAAGAGAACTTTGGGCTGGGGGTGTATTTCAGTGTATAGCCTTGTCTAGCATGTGTTAAGCACTGGGTTCAATCCCCAGCATTCAAAAAAAAAAAAGAGCGGGAGGAGAGCTTCAGTGAATACTAGTACTAATACATCTTTGTGAGTTTGTGTTATTATTTCTATAGTTTAGATTGCTAGAAGTAAAAACATAGGGTTGATCTTAGTGAATGGAATTACATTTCATTTTCAGTTTTGCTAATCTAATAGAAATATTGGTTTGGATTTCTTTCAAGTATCTTTTCAATCTTCCTCAGTATGCTTATTTCTATTGAAAAATGTGTAACAAATAATTTCTGATATGCAGTCACTTGAATTTTAACTTTTGGGGTGATGTCCTTACTATCATGACTGGGCAGACTATTTTAATATTTACACAATGAAATGTGGCACAGTTTTCCTTCATAACATTTGGAGTTTATGATATTGCTTAGATATCCACTCCAAAATTATAAAAAAAAACCTCTTCTATATTTGCTGCAATGCACTGACAGTTTGTTTGATACAATTAAATCATTAATGCCTAGAATTTTATACTTCATTTACTAGAAGGAATACATAGGAACATTTAAAACTTGGTTGGCACAAAATATCATTTCCTAAAGTTTTGTATATTAAATTCCTATGCCTGGATATGGATCAGAGATCTTCAGGATAGGAAATATAAAATAACTGTTATTAAACTAGATATTCAGATGGAATGTTAAGGAAGTAGGAAAATCTTGCTGTATCTTCCAGGGTTTTGGCTTAGAAACAAGTGGAGTGCAACCTTATTTATACTGACACAGAAAAGATAACAGAGTTCTAACATGATTAGCAAAGATACTTATGGGAAACTAAAGCAGAAACATAAAGCTGAATTTGAATGTAGGTAGAAATCAGCAGAAAAAATTTTTTTAAATACAATATTTACATATATACACACAGAGGTTGAGCATCCCTAATTTAAAAATCTGAAATTCAAAATACACCCAAATTTGAAACTTTTTAAGTACCAACATGCTGCCACAAATGGAAGATTCCATACCTGAAATTTTATGTCGGGTCATAGTAAAAATGTAGGCACACTAAACCTATATATAAAATTACCTTCAAGCTATGTGTCTAAGATGTATATGAAACATAAGTGAATTTTGTGTTTATGTTTGGGTCTCATTCCAAAGAATTTCATTATTGGCATGCAAATATTCCAAAATCCTCTTCCCTACCAAAAATATCTAAAATATGAGGCACTTCTGGTCTCAAATATTTTAGATGAGGGATACTCAACCTGTATACACACAAACACACACACACACACACACACACACACACACAATCTGTAATGACATATAAAGATTTAGGTAAGGTAGGCACAAAAGCATTGTTTTCTTGGATAAATATTTAAAATGAAAAAAAAATGTCAGGTAACAGAATCTTAGAGAATATAAACATTAATGATGAAGACAGGAGAGAAGTAAAGGAGCCTGAGAAAGAGCAGATAGATGGGGAAAAAGTCATGTAAAAAATTAGGACAGGGTATCATCATGGATCCAAAGGAAACAAGTTTCAAGACTGAGGAATGATGAGTAGTATCCAATATCAAAATTACTAACATCACAAGTTAAAAAAGACTGGGTTTGAAAACTATCCTTTGGTAACTGGTGATACTAGTAAAAATATTTTATTTATGTTGATTTAGTTCAAGCAGTGACCAGACTGCAGAGGTTGAAAAATCAAAAGGAAAACAGTGAAGATACTTTAATATTTCAAGAAGCTAGGTGGTAAGGAAATTTATGGAGCAAAATTATTGGAGAAGGATAAATTTGAGGGAAGTTTTCTGGTAAAGATCAAAAGACTTTTTAATTCTATTACACTAAGGAGACAGTGGCCACTAAGAGACAGAAACTGAAGATATAGGAGAAAGAAAAGGGGTAACTTACAGAGTCAAATAAATGGGGTCTGAGGCAAGAGGAAAAGAGACCTCTGAGAAAAGGTTAAGAATATAATGATGGAATCCTTATGATGGCAGGAGGAGAGGCAGGATTCTTTTCTGGTTAGGGGAAAGAAAAGAATTTGAGGAGTTCAAGCATGAAGGACTTTATTTCCTTTCAGTAAAAAGTGCTCATGTAAGAATGAGGCATGACAAAGTGGAGGAGAGTGATAAAGGAGACTAAGGAAGCTTAGTAATGGTCACATTAGGGAAATAGAAGAAAAACTGCTTAGATGTTACAGGGTAATCCCAGCAATTCAGGTAAATTCAAAGTCCATGAATGTGTAGTGTATATCATATTCTATGAATATATACTGACACTAGTCTACACCACTGTGTGATCTTCTCCTCTAATGATGAGCAGTCTGGCTAGCTGATTTGCTGTTGTAATTTTGCCAGGTACTCAGAGGTAAGTAACTTAAGGTTTTTGACAACATACTGATTAGTCATCAGGTCTTGTCTATTTTAGGAAGAACACTAAGGCAAGAGAATATGAATAAAAGACAATAACAAATGGGGAGTCGAGGAAACGGAGTTCTTGAAGAGTTTGAAAAACTTGTGTTCATCTATTTTCCATACATGTACAATCTACCAGAAAACTTCACTTTAATATCCATGACTATTCTAAGAGTTCATATCCTTTCACTTATTAAAAAAAAAATAGCTAACAAAGAATATCCTGATACTCCTGGCATTGGTGAATTTACCAATTATTTGTTTCTACTATTTTATAAATTACCAAAAAGGCCCAAACCTAGAGACAACATAAACATGCCCCTTTAAAAAAAATTTAGTTAAAATTATGGCTATGTGGCAATCAAATCTCATTTTATCCAATATATGAGAAAAAATATAAATCACATTCAGATTTTTGGAGGGTACAATGCAGAGAAGAACTATATTTTACAACATAGTTCCTTATGTTGTAAAATATTTTAATTCTGACTAGTGAATATTGGATCAACTTTACAACACAGGTTTAGAATAGAAGTCCTCCTATACTTATTTTGGTTAAAGAGACAACAATGAAATAAGATTTGGAACAAACTGAATAGTTAATGTGAAAATGAAATAGTTAAGTGTTTCTTCATACTAAAATTACCTTTATCCCTGAGAATAATGCATATTAAGTTTTCCTTTGAATTCTATATTTTAGGATTAAAAACTTACTGGTTCTCTCAAAATAAACTTACAAATAACTTTCTCTTACCTGCCGTAAAGTACGTGCAACTATGCTTTCTAATACTGGTCCTCTATCTTCATGCAGCAAATGAACTTCATCAAGAATAAGGAGTTTTACAATTTGGGAAAGAGCAACATCCCCAACACTCTTTCTTGTCACTACATCCCATTTTTCTGGTGTGGTAACAAGCATCTATAACAAAAGAAAAGACAAGCAAAAATAGTGGAAAAGTCAAATACACTATTTAAGTTTCATTTGTATCATTCAAAAATAAATATTTTTGTGGCCACTTTTACTCATATATAATAAAATATGTTTAAAATACCCCAAAATAACATTTAATTTACTAAAAACAACAGTAAATTCAAGAAATTTTTTCCTTAAGCTATAATTTTAAGCAATTATTTAAAGCTCTGAAGGTGAGTAAGCGTAGTGTAAAATGTACAAATTACACACACACATACACACAATTTGTAATGTAAAATAATTTTTTTTGAAAGTAACATATATTGATACGCATTTTTATTTGAAAAAGGTCCAGGAGTAAAAGCAGCCTGAAAAGGAGATTAAAAGAATGCTCATCAGTACTAAGCCTATTCCAATTTAGAAGAAACTACCATTGAAACTCAGTTTTCAAATACTTCCCTTTAATAGCAACTGGTATATACACCACTTACACTAAAAACACACATTTGGTGAAGGGTAACAAATACACATAGCAACCCCAACAGTGGGTCTCTGGAGATAAGGAATTTTGATGCAATAAGTAGGCTCAGGGTTTTTATGTAAACTTCATAAAAGCAGACCATTTAGCATGAAGCTGGAATTATAAATCTATTTACTTTTTGCATAGTGAGCTCTTTGGCTCCTCTAAAAGCAGAGTGGCAGAACAAAAAAATCAGAATTTAGTATCTACTGTGGAAATGGATTAGGAAATAGTCCATCAACAGATGGTTCAAAAAATGCATGAGATAAACAATAAAAACCAAAGTTGTATCTTAGAGTAGTTTTAATTTGCATTTCTCTGATTGCTAGAGATGATGAGCATTTTTTCGTATGTTTGTTGACTGATTGTATATCCTCTTCTGAGAAGTGTCTGTTCAGGTCCTTGGCCCATTTATTGATTGGATTATTTGTTGGGTTTTTTTTTTTGGGGGGGTGCTTATCTTTTTGAGCTCTTTATATACCCTAGAGATTAGAGCTCTATCTGATGTGTGAGGGGTAAAAATTTGTTCCCAGGATGTAGGCTCCCTATTCACCTCACATATTATATCTTTTGCTGAGAAACAACTTTTTAGTTTGAATCCATCCCATTTGTTGATTCTTGGTTTTAATTATTTTACTATAGGCATCTTATTAAGGAAGCTGGGGCCTAGCCCACGTGATGGAGATTAGGGCCTACTTTTTCTTCTATTAGACGCAGAGTCTCCAGTAAGAGTGGCAGCCTTTATGAAGACAAATAACAACCTCCAGTAAGAGTGGCAGCCATTATGAAGACAAACAACAACAAGTGCTAGCGAGGATGCTGGTGGGACTGCAAATTGGTGCAGCCAATTTGGAAAGCAGTATGGAGATTCCTTGGAAAACTGGGAATGGATCCACCATTTGATCCAGCTATTATTCCTCTTCTCGGACTATACCCAAAGGACCTAAAAACAGCATACTATAGGGACACAGCCACATCAATGTTTATAGCAGCACAATTCACAATAGCTAAACTGTGGAGCCAACCTAGATGTCCTTCAGTGGACGAATGGATAAAAAAAAATGTGGCATTTATACACAATGGAATATTACTCAGCAATAAAAAACAATAAGATCATGGCATTTGCAGGGAAATGGATGGCATTAGAGAAGATTATGCTAAGTGAAGTTAGCCAATCCCCAAAAAACAAATGTCAAATGTCTTCTCTGATATAAGGGGGGGTGATTCAAAATGGGGTTGGGATGGAGACCAAGGGAGGAAGATTACCTCTAGATAGGGAATAGGGGTGGGAGGGAGGATGGGAATAGCAAGGATAGTTCAAGAAGTTGGTCATCATTATACAAAATTCATGTATGAAGATGTGAATTTGGTGTCAACATACCTTATATACAAACAGAGATTTGATAAATTGTGGTATAAAGGTGTACTAAGAATTGCAATGCAAAAAAAATTATGAATGTAATGCACTCCTCTATTGTGATGTATGTAAGAAATAATAAAAAAAAAAACAAAGTTGTTCTTAACCAGTAAATCAAACTATAGTGACTGATTATAATCAACAACTAAATTGTGCTTTGCATGGTAAACTGGAATGGGGGCCAAATCACAGTCCTCAACAATTTATTTATTTATTTCATTTTGATATTAGTTTGTCTGTCTTGAAGTCACTGTGGACATGATAATCTTAGTTTTTTAGATCAGGAATGAATAAATTCTTAACAAATACACAATCCTGCTGAACTAGCAATATCATTGCTATCATTTTTTAATGAACTGTCAACTGCAAAATTTAGCAGGTAACATTCTACAGAACAATAAGTAGCAAGCACAACGAAGTAGATTAAACAATGCATATTTAAAGTGTGAAGTACTACAAATCTAAGTGACTTGGCTAACTTAGTAAATTTAAAATGGCAATGATGAGACTACAAATTTTTACAGAAAAATATGCTACTAGAATTAGGTATAAACAGACCTAAAATGAATTTTGAGATCTCAAACATATAAAACATTTACTGGCCATTAATTAATATTTTTTATCACGCTACAATAAATTAAACAGAACTTCTGTGAATATTGACAAAACCAAAACAACACAAGATATGTTATTATAAATACACATAGAAATAACCTACTAACAATCCTTTTTATTAAAAGTCCTTGATTAAAATGAATGTTTTCTCTCATATGTAGAAGCTAGATCAAAATAAGAGAAAGGAAGAAAAGGGGAAAGGGGATCTCATGAATTTAGCAGCAAGGTCAGTAGACTAGAGGAAGGGAATGAGGGATGGGAGGAGGGACAGGGAAAGGAACAGTGGTATGAGTCTGCTCAAACTTTCCTATGTACAAATATGAATATACTACAGTGAACTTCACCTTTAATGTATATCCATAGTGCACTAATTTAAAAAGGTATAAATTATAGAAGGAAGATGAGTAGAGGAAAGGAAATGGGGAAGGGAAGAGGTCAGGTAAAAGAGAAGTACATGGAACTAAACTGGGGAAATTATACTCCATGCTTATTTAGTTATGTCAAAATGACCCCCGTTGTTATGCATAACTAAAATGAACTAATAAAAAATAAATGCCCTTGAGAAATATGCCCATCTGTTAAAAAAAGTAGAAACTCTCCAAAACTAGAAATTAGCGGCACATGAAAATATAAAATAAAGAAGCAATTTTATTAGTAGGAAATATTAAGAAGACTATGAAGTAAACTATTAAATGAATTATTAAATGATAATAATAAATACGAAGCTTGGCTATCTATCTCACCTCAAATTTGGAAGACTGTGTTAGTATTTTCTTATAATTAACTGAATTTCATAGATAATAATGTACCAATTAAATTGTGATATCAAAAATTTCAAACATCAAATATACTACCAAATCTTAAAAATTCTTTCTAGTATTTTGTTTTCTATACTTTCAGCACATTAAGAAGTGGGTTCATTTATCTCACTGTGTCACCACTCTCATTCCCTGAACTAAAATTTCTAGAAAATAAAGTGTTACATTGCTTAATGAATTGAAAATCATGCAAGAGATTTCCATCTGCTCTTGGTTTTAGGCCATAGGTTAACTCAATATTTTTACTGTCAACTTAAATTTCTCTCAGTACATATACTTATTAGTTCCTCAGCAGTGTAAAAATCATTATTTGAAACAGTTACAATTTTAGCTTGTCCACTGGGAAAACGGCATCCTAAAGATATTTACTTACCACCATTATGATAAAAAGTTGGTATATTCAATTTTAAAATGAGCATCAATTTGACAGAAAAACCAAAGAACCTAAGACTTGATAGAATTAATTCATCAGATATTTCACCTAAACATTATTATTAAAAACTTTCCTTACATACTTATATAGTAAAATTACAATACTCAGTTTTCCATGAATGTTTCATAACTGTTCAATTGTTCTTTTCCAAAGGTTAAATATATTCCTTCTTCAGGAGGGAAAGAGAAGAGAAAAACATGAATTTTAATCTGAGTTTTTTAATAATTTTTTTGCATAACCCAATAATTGGACACTACAGCAAACCCTTTATCAAAACACACCAGAGAGGAAGTGTTTCATTGAATGAAAAATGTCATGCATGAATCCAGGTATTCACAGACTTGTCCTAAATAGAATTGTTTGAATTTTGAAGTAAGAATTATGAGAGCAATCACAAAGATCATAAAGCTTCTTGACAAATAATTCCTGTGAAAGGAATGAGTTTTGAGTGTGTATTTTACATTCTGTTCCTTTCTCTCTCAACATATTAATAGGCTTAACTAATCTAATGCTCCTTGAGAAAATGCAAACACTCCAGAGGTAAAAGAGCTGTCACTATATCAACCAGCTAGCAATTACAGGCAGATGATCGGTTCCTACCAGCCAAGCTTTTGAGTTTACCAGAAATTACATTGTTCTTAAATATATTTGCATTCATATTTTCTCCTACAAATGCTTACTGAACATAATAAGATGAAAAAAAAAAGTGATTTGTGCTACCAGAGAGGCTTGATAAAGAGCTGAGCCAGAATGATAAGAAAGCAAGCAAAATAATGTTTGGAGGAGAAAGAAAAATGGTTCTGAGGGAAAAGAATTTTTCTCTGTCTGATCTTTCCTCCTATTTTTTCCTTTCTTTATCTCTCTTTTAGTCAAAGGTCAAGTGTCTTCTCTGATATGAAGAAGCTAATTCAAAATAAAGGGAGGGAGATTAAAAAGAAAAGAAAAAATGAGTCAATGGAACAAAAGTGGGGAGAAGGAATATTATTAAACAGTTATTTAAAGAATTATTTTGACTATCAGTATTTTGTTTGATTGAGGCAGATAGTTATAAATAAAAGATTTAAATTTTTAAATCAAAAGACATACAAGAAATTTAAAAGGTTAAAAGTATAATTTCTTGCCTTTATAATATTTGAAACTATTTCAAAATTTAAAATTTTTGGTACTTAAATCTTAGAAAATTGGAAAAAAAGTCTTATAAAC